TTGACTAAAAAGCTGTGTTAGTCTTATTTTAGTCATCTGAATTGTTTTAGATTTTGCTAGTTTTAGTCGACTAAAATCTGAATAAAATTGTTAGTCGAAAAATTAACACTACGATAGTGGTTTTGATACTTGGAGTAACCCTTTAACATATTTATTTTATTTTACCATCTGCTTTGGTGATTCCTTAAGTTATGTGTATATGTTACAGTCCATCACCAAGCCAAGGGGTGGTGTGTGCGGGTTCTATAATAAAATATGGGGTTACTGCCACTGTTTCTCCCGTGCCCCCACGGATAGCAGGTAAGGGCTACAATATACATAAAGGGCGGGAACATCACTGTACCTCCCAGCTCCTTAACCCTTCACTGTACCTCAGTGCTCCTTAACCCATCACTGTACCTCCCAGCTCCTTAACCCATCAGTGTACCTCCCAGCACCCTTACCCATCACTGTACCTCCCAGCTCCTTAACCCATCACTGTACCTCCCCTCCCAGCACCCTTACCCATCACTGTACCTCCCAGCTCCTTAACCCATCACTGTACCTCCCAGCTCCTTAACCCATGGACATCTCCACCTATCCCCCCATGAACATTGGGTCACAGCCCAGAGAGGCAGACCTAAACTTCTGTGTGTACAGCTGTCTCTTGGGCTATCAGCCAACCAGTTGTATTACTGTCTTCCTGTATTGGTAATATCAGTGTTTTACATGTTTGTGTCTAGTGACAGCATGCCTTATTTCTCTCTTAAATTATAAAAATAAATAAAATAAAAACTTGCAGGGACATTGTCTTTGCACCATAACCACTTCAGATAGGATGACTTGGTTGTGGTGGTTATGGTTTGTATGAATCCTTCCAAATTCTGATTGTTAATACTGATTATTATATAAAGTATTACTCTATGGTACAGAATAGCCTGTAATCCAAGGCAGCTACCTAATATTTCATTCTAATTTGTTTAACTCCCATACTGAATGATTCCAGTAAAAACAAGATTCATCAATGTGAACCAACCCCTTCTCTGCCAAGAGGAGGGTGTGAACGCCCTGCAGAGAGTCTCTCAACCCCCCCCCCAATACAGCAGGAGGACATAAACATGATTCATCACAGCCTCTACTGACTGCTTGCAAAATAAATAAATATATCAATCAAGTTGCAGCTTGCCACTGAACTACATTTCCCGGCATGCCTCGTTTGCACTTCCGTAAATACAGCCCTGGCTGTTCCTTGAATGATTTGCAACATTCTATCTCTTACTTATTCCTGTGATTGGGTGAGCAGCCCTGGGTAACAATGCACACATAGCCAGCCTAGTATACAGAATATACTGCTCTGGGGGTAACAATGCACACATAGCCAGCCTTCTATACAGAATATACTGCTCTGGGTAACAATGCACACATAGCCAGCCTAGTATACAGAATATACTGCTCTGGGTAACAATGCACACATAGCCAGCCTGCTATACAGAATATACTGCTCTGGGTAACAATGCACACATAGCCAGCCTAGTATACAGAATATACTGCTCTGGGGTAACAATGCACACATAGCCAGCCTAGTATACAGAATATACTGCTCTGGGGTAACAATGCACACATAGCCAGCCTGGTATACAGAATATACTGCTCTGGGTAACAATGCACACATAGCCTGCTATACAGAATATACTGCTCTGGGTAACAATGCACACATAGACAGCCTGGTATACAGAATATACTGCTCTGGGGTAACAATGCACACATAGCCAGCCTGGTATACAGAATATACTGCTCTGGGGTAACAATGCACACATAGCCAGCCTGGTATACAGAATATACTGCTCTGGGGTAACAATGCACACATAGCCAGCCTGGTATACAGAATATACTGCTCTGGGGGTAACAATGCACACATAGCCAGCCAGCATATACTGCTCTATAACAATGCACACATAGACAGCCTGGTATACAGAATATACTGCTCTGGGTAACAATGCACACATAGCCAGCCTGGTATACAGAATATACTGCTCTGGGTAACAATGCACACATAGCCAGCCTGGTATACAGAATATACTGCTCTGGGTAACAATGCACACATAGCCAGCCTGTATACAGAATATACTGCTCTGGGTAACAATGCACACATAGCCAGCCTGCTATACAGAATATACTGCTCTGGGTAACAATGCACACATAGCCAGCCTGGTATACAGAAAATGCAACAATGCACACATAGCCAGCCTGGTATACAGAATATACTGCTCTGGGGTAACAATGCACACATAGCCAGCCTGGTATACAGAATATACTGCTCTGGGGTAACAATGCACACATAGCCAGCCTGGTATACAGAATATACTGCTCTGGGTAACAATGCACACATAGCCAGCCTGGTATACAGAATATACTGCTCTGGGGTAACAATGCACACATAGCCAGCCTAGTATACAGAATATACTGCTCTGGGGTAACAATGCACACATAGCCAGCCTAGTATACAGAATATACTGCTCTGGGGGTAACAATGCACACATAGCCAGCCTAGTATACAGAATATACAGGGAGTGCAGAATTATTAGGCAAGTTGTATTTTTGAGGATTAATTTTATTATTGAACAACAACCATGTTCTCAATGAACCCAAAAAACTCATTAATATCAAAGCTGAATATTTTTGGAAGTAGTTTTTAGTTTGTTTTTAGTTATAGCTATGTTAGGGGGATATCTGTGTGTGCAGGTGACTATTACTGTGCATAATTATTAGGCAACTTAACAAAAAACAAATATATACCCATTTCAATTATTTATTATTACCAGTGAAATCAATATAACATCTCAACATTCACAAATATACATTTCTGACATTCAAAAACAAAACAAAAACAAATCAGTGACCAATATAGCAACCTTTCTTTGCAAGGACACTCAAAAGCCTGCCATCCATGGATTCTGTCAGTGTTTTGATCTGTTCACCATCAACATTGCGTGCAGCAGCAACCACAACCTCCCAGACACTGTTCAGAGAGGTGTACTGTTTTCCCTCCTTGTAAATCTCATTTGATGATGGACCACAGGTTCTCAATGGGGTTCAGATCAGGTGAACAAGGAGGCCATGTCATTAGATTTTCTTCTTTTATACCCTTTCTTGCCAGCCATGCTGTGGAGTACTTGGACGCGTGTGATGGAACATTGTCCTGCATGAAAATCATGTTTTTCTTGAAGGATGCAGACTTCTTCCTGTACCACTGCTTGAAGAAGGTGTCTTCCAGGAACTGGCAGTAGGATTGGGAGTTGAGCTTGACTCCATCCTCAACCCGAAAAGGCCCCACAAGCTCATCTTTGATGATACCAGCCCAAACCAGTACTCCACCTCCACCTTGCTGGCGCCTGAGTCGGACTGGAGCTCTCTGCCCTTTACCAATCCAGCCACGGGCCCATCCATCTGGCCCATCAAGACTCACTCTCATTCCATCAGTCCATAAAACCTTAGAAAAATCAGTCTTGAGATATTTCTTGGCCCAGTCTTGACGCTTCAGCTTGTGTGTCTTGTTCAGTGGTGGTCGTCTTTCAGCCTTTCTTACCTTGGCCATGTCTCTGAGTATTGCACACCTTGTGCTTTTGGGCACTCCAGTGATGTTGCAGCTCTGAAATATGTCCAAACTGGTGGCAAGTGGCATCGTGGCAGCTGCACGCTTGACTTTTCTCAGTTCATGGGCAGTTATTTTGCGCCTTGGTTTTTCCACACGCTTTTTGCGACCCTGTTGACTATTTTGAATGAACCGCTTGATTGTTCGATGATCACGCTTCAGAAGCTTTGCAATTTTAAGAGTGCTGCATCCCTCTGCAAGATATCTCACTATTTTTGACTTTTCTGAGCCTGTCAAGTCCTTCTTTGACCCATTTTGCCAAAGGAAAGGAAGTTGCCTAATAATTATGCACACATGATATAGGGTGTTGATGTCATTAGACCACACCCCTTCTCATTACAGAGATGTACATCACCTAATATGCTTAATTGGTAGTAGGCTTTCGAGCCTATACAGCTTGGAGTAAGACAACATGCATAAGGAGGATGATGTGGTCAAAATACTCATTTGCCTAATAATTCTGCACTCCCTGTACTGCTCTGGGGGTAACAATGCACACATAGCCAGCCTAGTATACAGAATATACTGCTCTGGGGGTAACAATGCACACATAGCCAGCCTAGTATACAGAATATACTGCTCTGGGGGTAACAATGCACACATAGCCAGCCTAGTATACAGAATATACTGCTCTGGGGGTAACAATGCACACATAGCCAGCCTAGTATACAGAATATACTGCTCTGGGGTAACAATGCACACATAGCCAGCCTAGTATACAGAATATACTGCTCTGGGGTAACAATGCACACATAGCCAGCCTAGTATACAGAATATACTGCTCTGGGGGTAACAATGCACACATAGCCAGCCTAGTATACAGAATATACTGCTCTGGGGGTAACAATGCACACATAGCCAGCCTAGTATACAGAATATACTGCTCTGGGGGTAACAATGCACACATAGCCAGCCTAGTATACAGAATATACTGCTCTGGGGGTAACAATGCACACATAGCCAGCCTGCTATACAGAATATACTGCTCTGGGTAACAATGCACACATAGCCAGCCTGGTATACAGAATACACTGCTCTGGGGTAACAATGCACACATAGCCAACCTAGTATACAGAATACACTGCTCTGGGGGTAACAATGCACACATAGCCAACCTAGTATACATAATATACTGCTCTGGGGTAACAATGCACACATAGCCAGCCTGCTATACAGAATATACTGCTCTGGGTTACAATGCACACATAGACAGCTTGTTATACAGAATATACTGCTCTGGGGGTAACAATGCACACATAGACAGCCTGCTATACAGAATATACTGCTCTGGGTTACAATGCACACATAGCCTGCTATACAGAATATACTGCTCTGGGGTAACAATGCACACATAGACAGCCTGCTATACAGAATATACTGCTCTGGGTTGCAATGCACACATAGACAGCTTGTTATACAGAATATACTGCTCTGGGTAACAATGCACACATAGCCAGCCTGGTATACAGAATATACTGCTCTGGGGTAACAATGCACACATAGACAGCCTGCTATACAGAATATACTGCTCTGGGTAACAATGCACACATAGCCAGTCTGCTATACAGAATATACTGCTCTGGGGTAACAATGCACACATAGCCAGCCTAGTATATAGAATATACTGCTCTGGGGGTAACAATGCACACATAGCCAGCCTGGTATACAGAATATACCGCTCTGGGGGTAACAATGCATACATAGACAGCCTGCTATACAGAATATACTGCTCTGGGGTAACAATGCACACATAGACAGCCTGGTATACAGAATATACTGCTCTGGGGTAACAATGCACACATAGCCAGACTTCTATACAGAATATACTGCTCTTGGGGTAACAATGCACACATAGCCAACCTAGTATACAGAATATACTGCTCTGGGGTAACAATGCACACATAGCCAACCTAGTATACAGAATATACTGCTCTGGGGTAACAATGCACACATAGACAGCCTGGTATACAGAATATACTGCTCTGGGTAACAATGCACACATAGCCAGTCTGGTATACAGAATATACTGCTCTGGGGGTAACAATGCAGACATAGCCAACCTAGTATACAGAATATACTGCTCTGGGGTAACAATGCACACATAGCCAACCTAGTATACAGAATATACTGCTCTGGGGTAACAATGCACACATAGACAGCCTGCTATACAGAATATACTGCTCTGGGGGTAACAATGCACACATAGACAGCCTGGTATACAGAATATACTGCTCTGGGTAACAATGCACACATAGCCTGCTATACAGAATATACTGCTCTGGGTAACAATGCACACATAGACAGCCTGGTATACAGAATATACTGCTCTGGGGTAACAATGCACACATAGCCAGCCTGGTATACAGAATATACTGCTCTGGGGTAACAATGCACACATAGCCAGCCTGGTATACAGAATATACTGCTCTGGGGTAACAATGCACACATAGCCAGCCTGGTATACAGAATATACTGCTCTGGGGTAACAATGCACACATAGCCAACTGAGTATACAGAATATACTGCTCTGGGGTAACAATGCACACATAGCCAGCCTGGTATACAGAATATACTGCTCTGGTGGTAACAATGCACACATAGCCAGCCTTCTATACAGAATACACTGCTCTGGGGTAACAATGCACACATAGCCAGCCTGGTATACAGAATATACTGCTCTGGGGGTAACAATGCACACATAGCCAGCCTAGTATACAGAATATACTGCTCTGGGGTAACAATGCACACATAGCCAGCCTGGTATACAGAATATACTGCTCTGGGGGTAACAATGCACACATAGCCAGCCTGGTATACAGAATATACTGCTCTGGGGTAACAATGCACACATAGCCAACCTAGTATACAGAATATACTGCTCTGGGGTAACAATGCACACATAGCCAGCCTGGTATACAGAATATACCGCTCTGGGGTAACAATGCACACATAGCCAGCCTGCTATACAGAATATACTGCTCTGGGGGTAACAATGCACACATAGACAGCCTGGTATACAGAATATACTGCTCTGGGTAACAATGCACACATAGGCAGCCTGGTATACAGAATACACTGCTCTGGGGTAACAATGCACACATAGCCAGCCTTCTATACAGAATACACTGCTCTGGGGGTAACAATGCACACATAGCCAGCCTGGTATACAGAATATACTGCTCTGGGGTAACAATGCACACAAAGCCAGCCTGGTATACAGAATATACTGCTCTGGGGTAACAATGCACACATAGCCAGCCTGCTATACAGAATATACTGCTCTGGGTAACAATGCACATAGCCAGCCTTCTATACAGAATACACTGCTCTGGGTAACAATGCACACATAGCCAGCCTGGTATACAGAATATACTGCTCTGGGGTAACAATGCACACATAGCCAGCCTGCTATACAGAATATACTGCTCTGGGGTAACAATGCACACATAGACAGCCTGGTATACAGAATATACTGCTCTGGGTAACAATGCACACATAGACAGCCTGGTATACAGAATATACTGCTCTGGGTAACAATGCACACATAGACAGCCTGGTATACAGAATATACTGCTCTGGGTAACAATGCACACATAGCCAGTCTGGTATACAGAATATACTGCTCTGGGTAACAATGCACACATAGGCAGCCTGGTATACAGAATATACTGCTCTGGGTAACAATGCACACATAGGCAGCCTGGTATACAGAATATACTGCTCTGGGTAACAATGCACACATAGGCAGCCTGGTATACAGAATATACTGCTCTGGGTAACAATGCACACATAGGCAGCCTGGTATACAGAATATACTGCTCTGGGGTAACAATGCACACATAGCCTGCTATACAGAATATACTGCTCTAGGGGTAACAATGCACACATAGACAGCCTGGTATACAGAATATTCTGCTCTGGGTAACAATTCACACATAGACAGCCTGGTATACAGAATATACTGCTCTGGGGGTAACAATGCACACATAGCCAGTCTGGTATACAGCATATACTGCTCTAGGGGTAACAATGCACACATAGACAGCCTGGTATACAGAATATACTGCTCTGGGTAACAATGCACACATAGCCAGCCTGGTATACAGAATACACTGCTCTAGGGGTAACAATGCACACATAGCCAGCCTGGTATACAGAATATACTGCTCTGGGGTTACAATGCACACATAGCCAGCCTGGTATACAGAATACACTGCTCTGGGGTTACAATGCACACATAGCCAGCCTGGTATACAGAATACACTGCTCTGGGGTAACAATGCACACATAGACAGCCTGCTATACAGAATATACTGCTCTGGGGTTACAATGCACACATAGCCAGCCTGGTATACATAATATACTGCTCTGGGGTAGCAATGCACACATAGCCAACCTAGTATACAGAATACACTGCTCTGGGGTAACAATGCACACATAGCCAACCTAGTATACAGAATACACTGCTCTGGGGTTACAATGCACACATAGCCAGCCTGGTATACAGAATATACTGCTCTGGGGTAACAATGCACACATTGCCAGCCTGCTATACAGAATATACTGCTCTGGGGTTACAGTGCACACGTAGCCAGCCTGGTATACATAATATACTGCTCTGGGTAACAATGCACACATAGCCAGCCTGCTATACAGAATATACTGCTCTGGGGTAACAATGCACACATAGCCAGTCTGGTATACAGAATATACTGCTCTGGGTAACAATGCACACATAGGCAGCCTGGTATACAGAATATAGTGCTCTGGGTAACAATGCACACATAGACAGCCTGGTATACAGAATATACTGCTCTGGGTAACAATGCACACATAGCCAGTCTGGTATACAGAATATACTGCTCTGGGTAACAATGCACACATAGGCAGCCTGGTATACAGAATATACTGCTCTGGGTAACAATGCACACATAGGCAGCCTGGTATACAGAATATACTGCTCTGGGGTAACAATGCACACATAGCCAGTCTGGTATACAGCATATACTGCTCTAGGGGTAACAATGCACACATAGACAGCCTGGTATACAGAATATTCTGCTCTGGGTAACAATTCACACATAGCCAGCCTGCTATACAGAATATACTGCTCTGGGTAACAATGCACACATAGACAGCCTGGTATACAGAATATACTGCTCTGGGTAACAATGCACACATAGCCAGTCTGGTATACAGAATATACTGCTCTGGGTAACAATGCACACATAGGCAGCCTGGTATACAGAATATACTGCTCTGGGTAACAATGCACACATAGGCAGCCTGGTATACAGAATATACTGCTCTGGGGTAACAATGCACACATAGCCAGTCTGGTATACAGCATATACTGCTCTAGGGGTAACAATGCACACATAGACAGCCTGGTATACAGAATATTCTGCTCTGGGTAACAATTCACACATAGACAGCCTGGTATACAGAATATACTGCTCTGGGGTAACAATGCACACATAGACAGCCTGGTATACAGAATATACTACTCTGGGGGTAACAATGCACACATAGCCAGTCTGGTATACAGCATATACTGCTCTAGGGGTAACAATGCACACATAGACAGCCTGGTATACAGAATATACTGCTCTGGGTAACAATGCACACATAGCCAGCCTGGTATACAGAATACACTGCTCTAGGGGTAACAATTCACACATAGCCAGCCTGCTATACAGAATATACTGCTCTGGGTAACAATGCACACATAGCCAGCCTGGTATACAGAATATACTGCTCTGGGTAACAATGCACACATAGCCAGCCTGGTATACAGAATACACTGCTCTGGGGTTACAATGCACACATAGCCAGCCTGGTATACAGAATACACTGCTCTGGGGTAACAATGCACACATAGACAGCCTGCTATACAGAATATACTGCTCTGGGGTTACAATGCACACATAGCCAGCCTGGTATACATAATATACTGCTCTGGGGTAGCAATGCACACATAGCCAACCTAGTATACAGAATACACTGCTCTGGGGTAACAATGCACACATAGCCAACCTAGTATACAGAATACACTGCTCTGGGGTTACAATGCACACATAGCCAGCCTGGTATACAGAATATACTGCTCTGGGGGTAACAATGCACACATAGACAGCCTGGTATACAGAATATACTGCTCTGGGTAACAATGCACACATAGGCAGCCTGGTATACAGAATACACTGCTCTGGGGTAACAATGCACACATAGCCAGCCTTCTATACAGAATACACTGCTCTGGGGGTAACAATGCACACATAGCCAGCCTGGTATACAGAATATACTGCTCTGGGGTAACAATGCACACAAAGCCAGCCTGGTATACAGAATATACTGCTCTGGGGTAACAATGCACACATAGCCAGCCTGCTATACAGAATATACTGCTCTGGGTAACAATGCACAGATAGCCAGCCTTCTATACAGAATACACTGCTCTGGGGTAACAATGCACACATAGCCAGCCTGCTATACAGAATATACTGCTCTGGGGTAACAATGCACACATAGACAGCCTGGTATACAGAATATACTGCTCTGGGTAACAATGCACACATAGACAGCCTGGTATACAGAATATACT